CCTGTGTAAGGCAGCTTTATCCTTTCAGCTGTAAAATCAAAAGGAGAAACAGCAGTGGAAATCTGGCCAGTTTTTTCTAAAAGGCAGAAAGGGAATTTGGGACAAAGGAAGCTATTTAATTTCTTTGGCCTCCTTAAGCTGCTGACTGGTGGACCAACAGATGTAGCTGAATGCAATGAAATATACTGCTTGTCTTTGCAGAGGTTCAAGAAGATTCCTGTATATACATAGCACAAATGTGTGAGAAGTGCAGGACTGCAAAGCATGTGAGGACAGTTGTATTGCCTGGTAGGTCATGTTCAGTGCTGGCCAGAAAGCTGAAGCACTTCAAGCAATACTGGTCTCTCACAGGGAATATGTGTTTGCACTTCATTTACACTGTCTTTTAAGTAGTCTGTCATTTAAGATGTCTCAGCTATGATGCAGGAAATCAAAACACTAGCCCACTGTTGAAACAGCATCTGAATCCTCCTGATCGAGATTACACTTGGTTGTTTTGGATGGATCTTATTTCCACTCCTATTAGCCAGAAAGACAGCAGGTCATTTCTAGCTTGCCCATCCCAAAGGACCAAGAGAAGTGTCAACAGCCTGAAAACAGATGGAAAAAATGAGATGCCTCCTCTGCTGCAGCCACAACATGCTGCTGTAACTCCGAGAAACATGTACCTCAGAAGAAGATGCTGTGCAGCAAAATGTTCACTCCTTTCTCCTAACATACTTAGGACTCAAAGCAAAATATAAACTATGGTTACGGGATATATGTTGAGGAAGGCAGAAGATACATCATGAAAATGAATGGGATAATGCATTGCTTAAAATTAAAATCATAAAATCATAGAATGATAGAATGGTTTGGATGGGAAGGGACCTTAGACGTCATCTAGTTGCAAAACCCCTGCCGAGGCCAGGGACATATTTCACTACACCAGCTTGCTCAAAGCTCCATCCAACCTGGCCTTGAACACTTTCAGGGATGGGACATCCATACCTTCTCTGGGCAACCTGTGCCGGTGCTTCACCACCTTCACAGTAAATAATTTGTCCTAAGATCTGTTCTAAACCTACCTTCTTTCAGTTTTAAGCCATTCCCTCTTGTCCTATCACTACAGGCCTTTGTAAAAATTTCCACTCTAGCTCTCTTGTTGGGTTCCTTAAGGTACTGGAAGGCTGCTCTAAGGTCTTCCCAGAGCCTTCTCTTCTCCAGACTGAACAGTCCCAACTTTCTCTGGCTGTCTTCATGGGAGAGGTGCTCCAGCCCTCAGGTCACCTTCATGGCCCTCCTCTGGACTTGCTCCAACAGGTCCAAGCCCTTCTCATATTGAGGGGCCCAGAGCTGGACACAGAGCAGAGAGGGAGAATTGCAATGATGTGATGCTCCCCTGCTAGCTGCAACATCACTCCATCAGGCAATCATAGTCCTGAACCCGGGCTAAAAAGCTAATGTGAAGAGTGGTATTTCCTTCTGCTGAGGATCAAGTGATTCAGGCTGCAGCAACAGTACTTTAGAAAATCTCCCTATGTCTCTAGTGTAGCTTTGGATCAAAAAATAACTTTTTCTAGGAATGCCAGTGCTTCCCTATAAGACGAGAAAACATGCCTATGAGGGTAGATCATTTGCTGTCACTTAGGGGTCCCAGTCACTTAAAGACGTCATTTCCTGTTCTTATGTCTCCTTCAAGCTCAAAAGTTTACTGTTCCTTTAACTTTCTATGTACACAGCTATTCTTAGATTTTGACTCCTGGAAAATTGAGGAAACATATTGAAATATTTTTTAAGGGCTAGGTAGTCGCTTGAGGGACCTAGAGACATTGCTAGTAATTCAACTGTCAGAAGTTTCATTTTTTAGAATAAATGTGGTGGGGGTTTTTTTTACTACATTTTTACTATGGCACTTCCACAGTGAAGATCCATGTTCTTCAGCTCCATGAGTAGAGACATGCAAGGATACCAAATGGAAAAATGACACTAAAAGGAAGATGGCACATTATAAAAGTATTGTTAAATCTGCATGAAAAGACCTGTAACAAGGATGGCCTTGAATCCTTTTGCAAGTAAATCATAATTTTAAAAAAATCTATTACTATATCTGCACCTCAGATTTTGACTGATGTTCCCCACTATTTTCTTGGTAAAGTGCTCACACCTCCAAAGACATTTCTTTCTTGTGAAATGATGGCCCATTTACAGAAACTCAATATTTGTTTCTTGGTCTTTCTCCCCCTGCACTCTGAGGAGATTTCTTGTTAGCTGTGCAATCAATAAAAAACATATCTTCAGCCACTAGTAAATCTAGTTTATTAAAACACAGATCTGACAGTTAATTCAATTGCCAACAAAATTGTAGCATGGTCGATACAAAAAAAAATAAGTGACCTCATAAGTAAGACACATATAGCCTCTATGTGCAAAATTATCTGATAATAAGATGCATTGGACAGATTTAGACAACAACACACTGGTGAGATTAGACTGTGGCTAATTCTTTCCATTCCCTTGCACTATTTAAAGTGTATGGCATCTCATCAGAGGCTCCAAACTTGTCACTTTTTGCTGCTTAGGTCTACTTCTGACAGGTGAAAACCATGGAAAAAGAGTTTGCCCCTTCCTTCCAATTATGTGTCTGCTGTCTCTGCACAGGTTACTATCTTTATGATATTCCCATTGCACACCAGTGCTAATATTCCATTTTTCTTCAATAACATGGGATCAAGAACTGCAGGAGTTCACATGGCATCATTAGGTCAGCTCTCAGGTATGCTGCTGCATTATTGAAATAAGATTTGGAGCATTAACTTTAGTGAAGACTTAGGATAAAACTCCATGCTTACATCAAAGGCAGCACCAAGTTACCAAAATAGATTGAACATAATAACCCTTAGATAGCAAAAAAAAAAGTGTCTTTCCCAGAGATTTGCCAAGTACTTGTTCATCTGACCAGCAATGATTTGTTTTCTGCGTATTTCAGACAGAGCTGAAAATAGCTTCCTGCTGTTATTTTTGTTTGTGAGTAATAGCATACAGTTTACAAAGTACTTTCTCAGGGAAAGGTTCAGAGCACTGAGAAGTATCTTCACTAACAGAAACCTTCCTTTGGGTGGCTTTCACAGGGAGGGAAAGCTTTCAGCATTTTTGCTAGTTTTCATACGGGACTGTCTCCTGAAAAATATGACTAAACTTCTTGTCTGTTTTTAGTAAAAGCTGAGGCAATTAAAGACAAAATATAAATATGGTCAAACTGTGTTTGGAGCCTGTTTTCACTTGCAAAGTGGTCTGATTTTAGAAAATTTATTTTAGAAAATATTCAGAGACTTAAAAATACAAGCAGGCATTTGATGAAATTTTCCAAAGTACACATTGGTATAGCTCCCCATTGCTTTCTAAAACTCCTCTTCTTCCTCCTCCGCCACTCATCGCCCCTCCTGTTCCTAGCTTAGGTCTTCCCTGTTGCATAGGTTCATGTTTGATGTCATGGAGTTCAAAGCAACTGGAGTTAATCCTATGAAAAAAGGATCCGTTTCCCCCTCGGAGCAAGCAGGCAGGAGGTGAGGGATTAGGGATGCCTTTGGCAGCAGTTTGCTGGCAGACTGGTTTACCTGTGCAGAGGAAACCACTCCCTAGCTACTTGTTTGGACCAAAATCGTTTTTAAAGTTTGTCTTTGGATCCCTGCATGGGAATGGAGCTGCCTAGCCTCAGCTTTCAGAAAACCTTTGGCAACGCTGGGCATAAAAACAAATGTGGCAATGACCTTAAAAGAATCGGCACACACATGAGCAGGTGCAGGGTGCAGCCTGGTGCTCTGGGCACCTGCATCCTGCTGCCCTCCTTGCCAGCAGTTGTCTTACTCACAGCACTCCGTGCTGATGTCATTTTCTTGAAATCATTCTCTCACTTGACAACCGGTGAAATGCTAAGCAAAAGTCACCTTGGTGACTGGCTCAGAGTGGAAAATTTAGAAATGTTAGTGCCTTCTGAGCAGCCTGAGACAGTGCTGGGTTGTGTTTGTCCCTCTGCCTGCTTTGTAAGTCAGCCTCAGCAGAAAGCACCAGAGATGCTTTACATTTCTTTAATGTGCAAACCCTTCGCCAGTGTTTGCAAGGGGAACCGACAGGGCACTATGAATCTGTTGGGAATCCTGGCATCTGACCCATGCACCCCTGGCACACGCAGGGAAATGGAGCACAGAGACGTTCAGGTACAGGCACTGAAGTGGTCATGTGAGCAGTTGCCCTTCAAGTCGCTGGCTGAGTATTGTGAAATTAAATAAAGGGACTCTGGTAGCAAGGTAAATTCTTTTCTATTCCTTGTATTGGGGAGGGTGAACACCAGAGGTATCTTTACAGTGCTAAACAGAAGAGCACCAGGGACCACACCCAGGTACCTGACCTCTGATCATCCTGGCAACTTTTGTCCAGAGACAACTGACACTGAGCAGCACAGCTGCAGGCTGGCGAGCAGTACACCACACATCCTCTGCCACTGAATCATTGAATCAGCCCAGTCTAGATATCCCAGCAGGACCACATATATTTTGTTCTGCAATTCTGTATCATCTACCTGCAGCACAAACTTCTGAATTTTGCTTTGAAATTTTCAGCAGCAAAGTAATAGAGGATGGGATCAAGACAGCTGTTCATGGCAGCAAGGCAGAGAGTGACTACCAGTGCTTTGTGTACAGGCAGGTTGTCCTGGCTGCTGTTGCTGTACACCAGGTGGACAGTTCGCAGTATATGATATGGCAGGAAACAGAGGAGGAAAAAGATGAGAGTAATGATGATGGTTAACAGTGCCTTCTTGTGACAGATCATCCTCTTTCTCTGTGGAGTCCTGGACTTGAGTAACGTTTTGATCGCAAAGACATAGCAGACAATGATTGTGCAAAATGGCAGAATGAAGCCCACAATGAGGACAATGCTGTTCAACATGAGGAGCCTGTGTGTGCTGGAGGGATGGAGTTCCAAGCATTTGACTGGGTCGATGTATCCAGCGATTTCCTTGCATAACAGAGGGCTGGCAGATGCCAGCACAAAGACCCATATGGCTGCACATGTTATCCTGGCATACTTCATGTTGGCCACTTTCATGTGTTTGAATGGGTAAACGATGGCCACGAACCGAACGATGCTGAGCATGGTGAGAAAATAAATGCTGCAGTACATATTCACATACAAGGTGTAAGTCATGGTCCTGCAGAGAATATCACCAAATACCCAACGTGATCCCAATAGGAAATATGTGGCCCGAAGAGGCAAAGTGCTCACAAACATGAGGTCTGAAACAGCCAAATTCTGCATGTAAATGTTTGCTGAGATCTTCTTCTGTGAAGGCTGGAAGAAAACATAAATGGAGAGGCCATTTCCAACAGCACCCAGGAGGAAGATAAAGAGATACATGATGGGATAAACTGCTTGTTTGAAGCCATCAATCGTACAGTTGAAACAGTTGTTAGTGAAGTTGTCATCTAGCACCTTCTTGGAAATATTCATAGTCTGAGTCAGGCTCTCCATCTTTCTGCCAAAGTGAAAAGAAGTGGTGTGAGTGCTGGGTTACAGGCTGGGCAGGGAGTTCGGCCATTTGGGACTATTTTGCTGAGGGCAGAAATTGTAAGATGCAGACAACAGTGTGAAGTAAGGGTTTGTTAATAAGTAATTACTTGTGATGTCCCAGTAAATACACATCTCGAGGCACGAAGCCCCAAGTAAGAACTAAACAGTTTCAGTATTACAGCAGCTGGTTGTTGCCTCAGCCTATGAAAGTGCTGCCTTTCAGAGGTGAGTGCTGTGTGTTTGTCTTTGTGACAAGTTCCTGATCTTTGCTGTGCAGAACAAGCCAAGTTGCTGTCAGCCATTTTGTGGCAGGGAGGTTTGAGGCCCCAGTCACCTACCATGGAAACATCAAAACCTGATCAGAAAACAAATCACTCTCCAGTGGTAAGTCTGCATTTCAAATTAAGATGGAAAGCCAAAAGAACCGAATTTGCGTTTCGGAACTAGTTAAATTTTTCTGCTATGCTGTAGGCAGCATTTCCTGAGCAATACCAGAGATACATTGATAGATGTATAAATTAAGGACATTTTGACCTTAAACACTATGCAAATAGTCTGCTAGTTATGCATGGTTCCTTTTTAAACTCCCTCCTCTTTGCGCTGTATTTCTTCTTTCTTGTAAGCTTCTGATGGCTTTCTATGTCTCTCTTTGTGGGGCCTTTGCTTCATTTACTACTCTCTCAACCTCTTTTGTGCTCTACTGCTCTGCACCAGTCGGTTATCTACACACACTGCAGCTTTCAGCCCACGTTTGCAGTCCTAATGAAAATGGCCTCTGAGAAAATGGGCTGTGTTCAGAGAGAGTGACATTTTTCCTCCTATGAGGCTACAATTCAATCAAATCAAAACCACTCATCACTAAAACACTCTAAATAATAAAATCTTTTCTCATGAGTGTCTATTTCCTTGCTGAACTCTTGATTTCTTCTCTAGGCTGTCCTGCAGCTAGTCATATTTTCAAAGAACGATTTCAGTATTGTTGCTTGTTTAATAGTGGAAGCAATTCCCTCTTTGCATCTGCCAACATACTCTAAAGATGGGGCATGGAAAACTAGACTGAGTAAACACATGCTTCTAAAGGAAATCTCATCTGAGATACTCTTTCCTCATGGAGGAGTGAGACAAGATACTCTTCCTAAGAACTAATCTTTTGCAATCAGAGGACTTTTAATGGGTTTGGTTTTCTGTACACAACAGCTCTGATATACATGTTTCCTCTGTGGGATCAAAAACCAGCTTTTCTCCTAGTTGAATCTGATCTCCCCATTTTTCAGGGAAGCACTGTGGCCCAAGGTACTGCAAAGGGAAGAGCCCTTCTGACTTTGTTTTCCTGAGGTCCAATCATGCTTATCTTTAGAAACTCCGAAACACAAGAAAATATTACTGAAGAGATCTGCCACCTGTAGAAACATTTCTGTTGTGTGTGAAAGCTGTGAGTTGGAGGAGTCAAATGAGTATGAAGAACTTGGAGCATGGACAAATTCAAAGCCCTGCTCAGCACTACAGGTGACAGCTTGTGGCCCAATGCTATTTGATGAAGGATAGGACTAGGGCAACAAGAATTAAGTTGATGAAAAGCCCTTGTGTCCTTGTACCCTGGGGAGAGGAGTGCAAGCACAGGGGCTGAGGGACTCTGCTCAGGTTCTTCATGTGAGGTATCTAGCTAACAACTACCTTTAAAGCTATTTTGTGCTTTAACTGAACAAGTGCTCCTCAATTCTCTTTCCAGCTAAAGACCTAGACTAAAAGTATATGCACATATGCAATTGAGAAAATTCAGTATCCTTGAACCAGGAAGGAGAGTCAGTACACAGACTCCACTCCAAGTTATCCAGACAAAAGTTTCAAGATGTTATGGGATGTCTAAGAGAAAGAGGCTGGAGACCAGTCAACTGACAGCTGTTAACCACAGTGGTGCCTGCCCTCAGTTGAGGGCCAGCAATGAGCCATGCAATTATCATATATAAATGCGCTTACTAGTTGTGTTGTAACACACATATCAACGTAGAAAAGAAGGTGAAGTGAAGAAGGCATTTCACACAAGAGTGCCTCAAGCAACCACAGAGGGCAAGTGGAGAATTTTTCCCCTCCCTGAATCCAAGATCTATTACTAGACAGCTAGGGCTAGGGAATGGCTCCCAGATAAGCAGGAAGAATGACATATCTAAGGACAGGCAATAAACTTTGTTTTCAGCAAGCATGTCCAGACAGTCTTCTGGGTCAGGAAAGAAAAGGGTGGGTTGAGAGTGAAAGACTGGACCTATAGGACCTTCTGGGGCCTCCCAAAAGAAGGGACAATTGTAGTAAGATCTCTGAGGAAAAAGGGAAAGGGATTAACTGAACTTGCAGTACCTCTTAAGTGGTACTGAAAGACTTCTCTGATGGAAATTCTCTAGCAGGAGATTTTTTCTATATATGAGTTTCCCTGATGGAAGCTATCAAATGGAAGCAGCTGATGCATGTCCTGAGGCTCTGACAATCTCCCTGGCAGGAGAGAGAGAGAACATCAGCTGATCAAGAAAAAGGGAGCCTTTTCTGAAATAACTGCTGCATAAGTAGATTAAATGTAGAGTTTGGGTGGGGTTTTGCCCTTTCTTCACCTCTGTGGAGCATTTTAACAATATTTACAGCTTGATTAGCATGAATTTTATAAATAAATATTTACCTTTCATGATAAATTACATATATATTATAAAT